CTGTGAAAGTTGGTTTTACAAATTGGGTCATTCCTGTCATATCCAAATTAAATCAGAGTCGAGGGACCAGGAAGAAAAAGTGAGCTCTGCATTTTAAATGATCCCTGCTGACCCATGCACCTTAACCTTTGATAAGCAGACCCCTGGAGTCTGAAGAGCTCACCCTGGCTAAGTGTAGACCATCTCTATCTAGAAAGGGCCATCCAGAAGTTGACATTTTGCCAAATCTGAAATCCAGAACTAGGTCAAAGTATACTTTTGGAATCAGAACCTGAACCAATCTAAGTTAAATTCAGAAAGACACTTTGAGCAAGGGTGGTGTAGAAGGCTGAATTGTGACATCCCCCCCCCCCCCAAAAAAAAAAAAAAAAAAAACATAGGAAGTAATGCTCGAGTGGGAAGGCGTGATTTTGGAGCTTTTGAACCATTTTTCTGCTTAGTAATTTCTGAGTACTTACTAGGCGACAAGGATCTGAGGCAAAGGTCCTGGCACTGGGTCCTCACATGGTTCTTGCAGTCTGGAGGTGGTGACAGAGAAGTAAGAAAATCATTGCAGAGGTGGGAGACAGTTTAGGGAATGAGGACGAAGCCTTCTTAAAGGAGTATTCAAGGTGAGTTTTGAAGGATCAGTAGGAGTTTTAGGGCAGAAAGACATTGCCAAGAGGATCTAGCAAGAGGTCAGTGAAGGAACCATCTGTTTGACCAGATGCTGGGGAATGCCTCGAAGGCAGAGACTGTAGCCTTCTTGAATCTGCAGTGCCTGGAACAGCATCTGACACACACTTGGTAAATATTCCTTTGAGTAAGCACCCAAGTTAACACATTGGAGAATAGGGTGGGAGAAATCATAAGGGAAGCAGATGGGGCTTGTGTGTGGAGGACCTCATGGGTCACAACAGGTGTCAGTTCTTAAAGGCAATAGGGAGCCATTGGAGGTTGTTATCCAGAGGAGAGAGGGCGATCAGATCTGACCTGTTTATTAATGCAAGTGTAATCAAATGCAAGTGTAATCATGCAGTGCATAATGATGTTTCGGCCAGCTATGGACCGCATATATGGTGATGGTTATACCATGTAGTAGCCTAGGCATGTAGTAGACGATACCATCTAGGTTTGTGTAGGTACACTCTGATGTTTGCACAATGCTAGAATCACCTAATGATGCATTTCTCAGAATACATCCTTGTCCTTAAGTGACACATGTATCTGTATCTAAGTTTGTGGATTCTCTTGTGAGCAGGAAAACCTGACTACTTTTAAACACACATGGAAAGATCTTCAGTTTCACTGAGCATAAACAGAAAAGGAAGTTAAGCTATAGGGAGGTAGTTTTGACTATCAGATTGGCAGAGACCAGAAGCTCGTAATACACTGTGGTTTGGGAAGTAGTTACCCTCATACCTCGTTAGGTGGAGTATAAATTGATGTTTCCCAGTTGGAGAGGAGTATCTGTCTAAATGTTACATGTATGCACAATTTGACCAAGCAGATTTACTTCTAGAAGCTACCTTACAAATAGGAGGCTTGCTTGTGTGTGAAATGAGGCACTTACCAGGTTATTTATTCAATGCCACATTGTCTGTAAGAGCAACCCAAATGCCAAGTTACCAGGAGACTGATTAAAATCAAGTGCACACATACAATGAGCAGCCATAACAAAGAATGAGGAAATCGTTCATGTGTAATGTGGGATGACTTTTAGGATCTATTATTAAGAGAAAAAAATGAGGTACAGAACGTTATGTGAAACGTGCTTCCTTCCATTTGATAACAGAAAAAATATATTTTTGTTATTACCTGAAAGAATCACAAGAAACTGTTGATGGTTGCTTCCAGTGAGAGGAACTGGGGGGAGAGGGGATTTAGGGAATGGGATGGGAAGACTTGTCCCTTCTATCCCTTTGTCCAAAGAAATAAAATATCAGGAATAAAGCAGATCAATGTTACTGATTAAGATCAGTTTCCCATTTTAATTAGTTAAGGGGAAAAAAAGTAAGGTCCAGAACAGAGTATGTACTATGGTGCCTTTTAGGGAAATGAAAGAGGCTATTTTTGGAGTATATCTGGAAAAATATACAAATCGTTGGCAATGGTAGTTTGCCTATGGGGTGTGATGGGAGGCTGCAAATTCAGGGAAAAAGGCTTATTTTTCACCATAAACCATTTTTTGTAGTTCAAAAAAGTCATAGTGCATAAATGTGTTACGTATTAAAAATAAACAAATAGAAAGAGACATGGATGAACGGGGGGATGGATGGGTGCGTTGGTGGGTGCATGGGTGGGTGAGTGCATGGATGGATGTATGGGTGGGTGGATGAATAGGTGTACAGTGGATGCATGCAGGGGTGGGTGGGTGCATGGGTGCATGATGGGTGCTTGAGTGGGTAGGTGGGTGCATAGGTGAATGGTTGGATGGATCAGTGGGTGCATGGGTGCGTGGTGGATGCCTGGTGTGGTGGATGTATAGGTGGGTAGGTGGGAACATAGGTGAATAGGTGGATGGGTGGGTAGGTGGATGGGTGGGTAGATGGATGGATAGATAATATCAGTGGGATATACCTATGGGTGTATGGATAGATAGGTAACTCTGGCTGTAGTGAGGAGGACTAAGATCAGGAGAGGCTGGCGGTACGAAATAATTAGAGCTAGGATCAGGTTATTGAAATGTTTCACATATGAACCGTGTTTCTTATATAAGTAACTGCATATGTTAAGTCCCATCCTTGTTTTCTTTCTAGAAGGGCAAATTCCTTTGGAATGAATGTTTTTCTGGCAACCGCTCAGAACCTGGTCTGTGTATAATACCCACCAACAGTTTAATCCTTTTCAACCATCACTTTAAGAATTACAAATGGTGTGAACTAATTAAAGTAGTGCCTTTGATATAAATTACTTCTCTCCATGATCAAATTTTCATTTACAAGGCTGTCTTCCAAATGCCCAAGCCCGCAAAGGCATGAACTTTGTCCTGTTCACAGTTTCTTTATCTTAAAGTTTCCTAGCTAAATCTCTGTGTGTGTGTTGGTCTTGTAAAGTTTACTTTTCAATGATTCCTTGTTCCCAGTTCTGGAAAATTAATCGTATGTGTCATAGAAGAAATTGCTTCGCACATTTTTTTTTTGAAGTCAAACATCTTTATTTTCTTAAAATATTTTTTAACCACCTTAGCTATTTTTAAGTGTATAGTTTTTAGTGGTAAGTATATTCACGTTGTTGTGTATAACTAGATTTCTTTTTTGAAATTCTTAGAGCATATATTTTGATCAGATTGTCAAATATTTCCTTTAAGTGAAATGATCTACTTATTCCCCTCGCTTTCTCTTTTTTATTATTTTTGATGTGGCTTTAAAGTTTGAATGGTGCTGTGAGATTCCAGGCTCCTTGGAGTTCCTCGGGAGTCTCACTGATGTGATTGTGGGAAGGCTGTTGGAATCAGATATTTGGAGGGTGCATAGTTTGGTGGTGGAGAGAGAGGACTGGGAGAGAAGTGGACTTCATGGGGACTGCAGCCAGCTGGAACACATGGGCCTTTCCTGGTGACTAGCCAGTCCCCAGCTCCTGGTGGTGGTCATGAAGCAAGAATATGGGCCCAGCACTGCCACATTTTCTGATTTTTAAAGAGAAGCCAGAAATCCAAGTTTTTATATGAAATGTCTTGATTTTAAATGTTAGCAGCTAATCTAAATATTTTTTTTAAAGCATGCCTAAAACAACAACAGCAATAGCAACAAACCATCTTTGGGTCAAATTGGCTGTGGGGATGGGCACCTGTTTCATATCTCTAATTTTATTCAGCCTAATCATGACAGAGATAGGAAATTGAGACCCCAAGATAGAGCAATGACTTTTCCTGAAGTTGTATAACTAGTCAATGGTCACATCAGGACTTGAATTAAATTTAAATTCTCCATTACAAAACTGGCATGTGGTTGAGGTTTATTCTTGGGCAAATAGACCTAATCTATTTATGTATGTGTGTATCTATCTATCTGGCTTGTCTCTTTAACTAAATACAGGCTTTTTTTTTTTTTTTAAATTAAAGTAATTGAAACAAATTTTCTGAGGCTGGATAGTTTAGTGGTTAAATGCAGAGACGTGAACCAGATTACCTGAGTTTGAATTCCGTTCAGGGTGTTACCAGCTGTGTAACATTGGACACCTCATGTAACTTTTCTGTGTCTCAGTTTTCACATTTGAAAAAGGGGATGATAAAGTGCTTATTTTGTAGAATTAAAGGAGATAATATAAGGGGTCTTCAAAACGTTCATGGAAAGATTCATATTATCTTTTAATTCAAAATTTTCCACAGACTTTTTGAAGTACCCTTTTACAAATAAAGCACTTAGAATAGGGCTTTGCACGTAGAAGTACAGTTTGGGTGTTATTCATGATGATGATGGTGGTGGTGATGAAAATTGGAAAGTCCTCAGTTTACAAGATCGTAAATCAGAAGTGATCCATGTGACTAGAGGAGTCTTCAGTTTACAAGAGAACATCCTTCAGAGTTCTTTTCCAGGGCAGTCTCCATCTTTTGTACAGCAATGGGACTTGCCACAGTTCTGGGACCTTGTCTGTTATGCAAGACAGGACATAATTTACCTTTCATTGCTCATTACTTGTTTCTTACAGTTTTTGTATTCATTCCAAGAGGTCCTCGGGTGTAGGGGTCCTGTCTGATTTTTTAAACCCCATGGCAGTAGTTTTGAGCTCCTGTCCCTCTTTGGTATGTCCAGTTGACCCCGTGCCTGTGTTTGTGTCTGCAGGACTGGAATGTCACATGGTACACCAGCAATCCCGATTTCACCAAGTGCTTTCAGAACACTGTCCTCGTGTGGGTGCCTTGTTTTTATCTCTGGGCCTGTTTCCCCTTCTACTTCCTCTATCTCTCGCGACATGACCGGGGCTACATTCAGATGACACATCTCAACAAAGCCAAAACTGTAAGTCACTTGGGATTTTGTCGTGGTGGGGGTTGTGCATGTGCGCATGTGAGTGCACCTGGTGGGGAGCAGCGGTTGATGGAAATTGACATTTTTCTCCTATTTAATTGACCCTAAGTTCCTTTTTCTAGAAGGCAGAAGAATAATGTGGATAAAAGCTGCAGCTCTGGAGTGAAACATGGCTTCCAGTCCTGACTCTGTCACTTACTGGCTGTGTGCCCTTGAGCAAATGTTTTAACCTCCCCGAGCCTCAGTTTCTCCATTTATGCAATGGGGAAAATTAGGCTATTTCTCAAAGGATTATCAGAAGATTATCAGAAGATCTTTCTCCCTTACCAAGGCTATCCCCTTTTTATTTAA